CCGGTGTTCCTGCGGCCGGGAGCTCCGGGTGTGCTCCCGTGCCGCGGCCCACGGCACACGTTTGGTTTAACACAAGGTTTGACGCGTGCAGGCGGGAGCCCGGTGTCTGCGTGCACCGTCCCCCTTGGGAAGGGTGCTCTCCTGGGTCCCCGGCACCAGTGACCACGTAAAGCCCAAGCTCCAGAGGTGGAGAATCCTGCAGGAGGAGGAGACCTCAATAACTCGTTTGCCTTACCCAAAACTGTGCTTCAGGTCTCTTCTGAAAGAGTTTGGCATTTAACAGTCCGCCTGTGAAGGAGCAGCGGCCTCAGTAAGGGGAGCAGTGGAAGGAGAGGGGCCGTATGAGCTGCAAGTAAGGCTGAGAATAACGAGGCTGAGCAACTGAAAGCTGTGGGGAGACTTCAGGTGCCCTTCAGTGGGAACTCCTTAGGGACAAAGTGGCCATGAATAGTCTGTACAGGTAGAGGAGAGAGCAGCTGAGGTGGGTGTGTGGAGTTTGAGGAGTCCCGGGGTAAAATTGATCTTCTAAGTGTTAAAATGATCAAATAGGGCATTTTTAGGGCATAAGCCACAGAATGACGTGATGTTCTTCAGGCTCAGGGTGCTCTGATAGTCAGATCAGCTTTTTCCTTCTAATACGAGAAGTGTGTTGCTTAAAGTCTCCTAAAGTGTCAGGGAAGTCCATAAGAACTTGGATGTGTGAGTAGGAAGGCTTCTTACCGCTGCAGAGCAGTGTCCTGCTGTTGTGAGTAGCTGACGATAACACCAAACATCATCCAAGTTACTCTTAATGTGTCAGATCCTGATTTGCTCCTTGCTGCTGTGGTCCCCAGCACACTGGGATGGCCGCAGAGGTACAGGTGGTAGGGCTCCAGCTGCTCAGGATCCAGGATTGGCTGTTCCCAAAGGTGTTACGGGTTTTGGGGAAAAAATACCTATGGTTTCATGCATGATGGATTTAGTGCCTTCACTCTGGAGTGGCTGTGCCGAGTATGTGTGTGTTTCCTTTGGGTTAGGAGGGTATAGGAGGAGTTGGAATTAGGGAGCTATGGAAGAACTGTGAAACTGGACAGAAGAAGTGTGTGTGTCTGGAGATTAACCTGGGTTGTTGATGCCCACATGGAGAATACTTGATAGGTACTGCCGCTTGGAGAAGAGAAGGCTCTGAGGAGGCCTCAGGGCAGCTCCAGTGCCTAAAGGGGCTGCAGGAAGGCAGGAGAGGGGCTTGGGACAAGGGATGTAGGGCCAGGCCAAGGGGAATGGCTTGAACCTGCCCAAGGGGAGACTGAGCTGAGCTCTTAGGCAGAAGCTCTTCCCTGTGAGGGTGCTGAGGCGCTGGCACAGGGTGCCCAGAGAAGCTGTGGCTGCCCCATCCCTGGCAGTGTTCAAGGCCAGGTTGGACACAGGGGCTTGGAGCAAGCTGCTCTATGGAAGGGGTCCCTGCCCGTGGCAGGGGTTGGAGCTGGAGGAGCTTTAAGGTCCCTTCAACTCAAACCGTTCCATCAGTTTATCGCTGGTTTGGATGATGGAGCCTCCTGGAAAACCTAAATGCAATTTAAAAGTGTCAAAGTGCTCCAGGTCAGCATGACTTCACATGGAACAGTGTTAACCTAACATGACCATAAGCAGTGCTTTGTAAATGTTCCTGGTAGGGGCCAGGTCTTAGTTTTCTAAACTTCTTAGTCCTGTGTTGCTGTGGATTAATGCTGCTGCCAACACCGAATTGTTCTGTGGATAACAGCAGCATTTTCCACGTTGAAGCCAGCAGGTGCCAGCCTCAGTGCAGGAAAAGGCAGCTCCGTTTGGAGCAGGCTAAGGATGTGTTGTGGGGTTGTTGGAGAGCCGTAACATTGTGTTAGTGCTTGGAGAAGGGACTGGGGTGAGGCAGCAGAGCTGAATGTGTATGGAAATGAACCAGTGGGTTGTGAACTGGGGTGAAACTCCCCTGAGCAAGGACTTGGAAGCAATGAGCTTTAGAAAGTACAGCCCCATGAGTGTTAATGAGAAGCAGATGGAAGGGGTATTCCTGCAATTCCTGTGCTGTGTGTGGTTCTGCTTTGTCTTATTTGAAGGAGTTGGCAAAAGGGGTTTAATGGAAACGTCATGGAAAACCCTGAGAGTGCTGCAGGAGCTGCAGCGTGAATCCTGTGTGTGCCTGTAGCAAGGTGTCCCATTGGTGCTCTTTCAGGAGTTGAGATAGAATCATAGAATGGTTTGTGTGGAAGGAACCCTGAGATCATCCAGTTACAACCCCCATGGTTGAGCAGGACTGAGCTTGTGTTGAGGTGGGTCAGATGCTGTAGACACAGATGTGAAGAGTGCTGTTAGTGTGGGATGTTCTGGAAGGTGTTGTTGGAAACACATGGATCAGGGGAGTAGTTCTGTTTGGGATTTTATCAGTCATAGAACCATGGCTCATGGCATGGGTTGGGATGAAGGGAGCTTAGAGCTCATCCAGCTCCAACCCCTGCCACGGGCAGGGACCCCTTCCATAGAGCAGCTTGCTCCAAGCCCCTGTGTCCAACCTGGCCTTGAGCACTGCCAGGGATGGGGCAGCCACAGCTTCTATGGGCACCCTGTGCCAGCGCCTCAGCACCCTCCCAGGGAAGAGCTTCTGTCTAAGAGCTCAGCTCAGTCTCCCCTGGGGCAGGTTCAAGCCATTCCCCTTGGCCTGGCCCTACAGGCTCCATGTGGAAGTTGTACAGAAAAACCTCCCTGTAATTAAGGGTGGGAGGCAGCTTCTTTGGGACGTCACCAGAGCGTTAGTTCCTTGTCCCTTCTGGTGCTGAGACAGTGCTTTACATTGCTCAGTGCGACATAAACCTGCTGTCACGTGTTTTGTGGCTTCAGGACTCATTACATTGCTTACATCCACCCTGAGGAAGCTGACAAATGAATTTTGAAGATAAGTTTTAACTAAAAGCTGACTTCTTCTTTGCAGGTTGAAGGGAAGAACCTGATACATCCCCAAAATGTTTAACAAATCCTTTGGGACTCCGTTTGGAGGCAGCACCGGTTTCGGGACAACTTCAACATTTGGACAAAGTAAGTAATAAACTGACTTTCCAGCACTGCAGGTGGTTGTTCCTGGAGGATCAGGTGGTGGTTCTTTGTGATGGAATCAGGGCTGAGTCAGGGGCAGGCTTCTGCACTGACCAAGCTCCTAATTTGGGTGCTGAGGCACCAGAATGGGTTACCCAGGGGAGTTGTGAATGCTTCATCCCTGGCAGTGTTCAAGGCCAGGTTGGACAGAGCCTTGGGTGCCATGGTTTAGTGTGAGGTGTCCCTGCCCATGGCAGGGGGGTTGGAACTGGATGATCTTAAGGTCCTTTCCAACCCAAACTATTCTATGGTTCTGTGATACCAGGATTCCACAGTTGTGGGAGCTGCCTTTTTGAAGAGGAGGATTAGCTCAAATGCTCAGATGAAGGCCACCTTGCTGGGGTGGGGGTTCTTTCAGTTAATACTGGATTGGTTGGGAAGTCTTGGAAAGAATATTCTGTACTCTGAGGGGTGTCTTGTGGAGGTTCACATTGTACATACCACAACAAGTGAGGTTATAGCCCCTAAATCAGACCAGGAACTGTTTATACGCTCTCTGTAGGAAGGATGCACACCAGTGCTGCTTATATTGCCAGGGGTCACTAGAAGTGGTAAAGCCCCTGCAGAGCAGTCTCTTTGCATTGTGCAGAGGTGACTGACTCAGTATATCCCAGCCCTTTGCTTCAGAAGCTCCATACAAGTATTAATGATTCCACTTCCCATACCCCAGGCACCGATGTGTAGACAGGCGTGCACAAGCTTCTTTTGGGACATTAAGAAGGCAGTGACAACATTTAGTTCCTTGTGCCAGTGTTCAGAATGGGGCTTATCTAAACTCCAATGGTGATTTCAGATGCTGGCTTTGGGACAAGCGGAGGAGCGTTTGGAACATCTGCCTTTGGCTCAAACAACAACACTGGAGGCCTCTTCGGGAGTACACAGACAAAACCAGGTACTGCTGTGGTGTGGTTATAGGGGAAACCAGTCCTGAGAGAAGGACGTTATTAAAAATACATGGGGAAGGAAAGGAAGAGACAGAAACCGAAGCAGCCATCAGCAAATGCAACAACACAACCCACCCAACCAAAAAACTCTTCCCAAAACAGCAACAAAACCCTCAACACCTTCAGGCAGTCGATGAGTGCAAATGATTACTGGTCTGTCAGTGTCCTCAAGAGGAAGCTGTGATCCTTTGTTAGGTCAAAACTGTTTCATTTAAAATGCTCTTAAAGAGCATAGGGAAGCCCATAAGGACTGGGATGTGTGAGTGGGGCAACTCTGACACCCCAGAATAGTGACCTGCTGTTCTGAATAGTTGAACCCCAAAACCCACAAGCAATTGATGAGGGCGAATGATTAATGCTCTGCTTCTGTCTGCAGGAGGATTATTTGGTTCCACAACATTTAATCAGCCAGCCACCTCCTCCACAAGCACTGGCTTTGGCTTTGGAACCTCAACCGGGACATCAAACAGCCTGTTCGGAACAACCAGCACTGGGGGAGGCCTCTTCTCATCCCAGAGCAATGCCTTTGCACAGAATAAGCCAGCTGGGTTTGGAAGTGAGTAAAAGTGCTGCATGTCCCCTGAGCATTGCTTGTTGCCTTTGAAGAGCCCTGAACGTTCTTGGTGCACATGTGCAGCTGCTACAAGTGTTAAGTGTGGGGTTGGTGTTATTCCTTCTCCTGATGGATATAGTGATGCTGTTGTGGTCCACAGTAGCCAAGAGTGAGGATTATGGCTACAAAATCCATAGCTGTGATTCTAGCCATAACTTTTCATAGAATCCCAGACTTGGTTCGGTTGGACAGGACCTTAAAGCTCTTCCAGTTCCATCCTGCTGCCACGGGCAGGGACACCTTCCACCAGAGCAGCTTGCTCTAAGCCCCTTCCAAGCCATTCCCCGTTGGGCTGGCCCTACAGGCCCTTGTCCCAAGCCCCTCTCCAGCTTTCCTGCAGCCCCTTCAGGCACTGGAGCTGCTCTCAGGTCTCCCCTTCAGGAGCCTTCTCTTCTCCAGGCTGCCCCAGCCCAGCTCTCTCAGCGTGGCTCCAGAGCTGCTCCAGCCCTTGCAGCATCTCCATGACCTCCTCTGGCCTCACTCCAGCAGCTCCATGTACTTCCTGTGCTGGGGTTTCCATTTCAAACTCTTCTGTAATTTATAAAGTATTTGGGTTGAAGCTTTAGAATTCAGGTTTCTTTAGTACTGACCTCTTTCTTTTCATGTTTCTTCCAGACTTTGGAACCAGCACCAGCAGCGGGGGGCTCTTTGGAACCACTAACACCACTTCCAATCCCTTTGGCAGTACCTCTGGCTCTCTTTTTGGCCCGACTAGTTTCACCGCTGCTCCAACTGGCACGACTATTAAGTTTAATGTAAGTTCTGTTTTTCCTTCCTGCTCAAACCTGCTTGCTGTAGGAGGAAGTTTTGCAGTTATTTGTGTTAAGTGCTGTCTTGGTCCACTAGAGCAGGTTGCTCCAAGCCACGTCCAGCCTGGCCTTGAGCCCTGCCAGGGATGGGGCAGAATTCCAGGTGATCAGTGCTAAATGCTGACAGCAATGAGATGTTTTGGAATGGGACAAAATAAATGTGAGCCCATAGTCTTAGAAATGTGAAGTGGAATGTGGGGCTCATCCCTGGTGTTCTCTGTATGAATTCCCCTTAAGAAAGGGTTGAATAACATCACAGAGGTTCTGTGGCACTTGAAAATGGAGGGTGGCTCAGAAGAGAACCCACCATGGAAATGGGGAACTGATTCCTGGTGGCAGGAGGTGTTCTGTTACCCCAGTACTGGTTCACACAAATCTCAGCCCTCTTCACTTCTGCACTGAGCTGATTTAACGCACAGACTTCGCTGTTTTGGGGCAGAGGCAAAACTCTGACAACTTGTGCAGGCTGAGTGCTGCTGATGTGCATTTCCATGGTGCAGTCAAGGAGAATGGGGGATAATGAAATCCAGGCAGAGCTGGAGGATTTGGTTCAAAGATTGTATAAATTGCTCCTAAAGTGAAACTGAATGGAGCGGCCCTGCCTTGTTGTAGGTGTTCACAGGGGAAATTCCACCCTCGGTTGCTGCTGAACCACGTCACAGGGTGAGGCCCCAGCTGTACAGAGAGCACTGATCCACTGCTCAGGTCCTGTGCTCAACTTAGGTGTTCACAGCAACCACTAAAAGAGCTCTAGGGGTACAAACAAAGCTCTGTCCGGGTTTAAACCTCACATCTTGACCTCTTCTCTTGCAGCCACCAACTGGTACAGATACTATGGTAAAATCTGGTGTCAGCACCAACATCAACACCAAGCACCAATGCATCACGGCCATGAAAGAATATGAAAGCAAATCTCTGGAGGTCAGTCACCAGTGCTCAGACACTCATCTTGCTTGTCTGATAGTGTTGGGTTAGTAGAGGTTTTTGTGGCTGTAGTGAGTATCTGCTGTGCTGTGTATTACCAGTGTGACCTTCAATATCTGCAGCACCCACAGAAGAGGGGTGTCATCAAGTAAAACACTTCACGCTTCATGTATCACCAAATTAATTGCATTTGGATTTAAATGCTTAACACTGCAGTTCTTGAGGAGCTACAATTCCATCTCCCCATGTACCCAGATATAGTCCTGCAGTGCTGAGATAATGGCAGAATCTCAGGCAAAGCAAAGTTGTTTAATACAAGGTAATGTTTCCAAGGGTTTAACCTGAAGCATTTCCATTCAAGTTGACTTACCTGGGACTTCAAAGCAAGTTTTCTCCTGAAAAGGTCTGAAAGAGCTCTGAGATGTAAACTGGAAGCCCAAACATGAATCTGAGTTTAGATCATAGAATGATGGAATAGTTGGGTTGAAGGGACCTTAAAGCTCATCCATTTCCCACCCCCCTGCCACAGACAGGGACACCTTTCACCAGAGCAGCTTGCTCCAAGCCCCATCCAGCCTGGCTTGCACTGAAGTGAAGGTCCTGTTTATGGTCCCTCTTTTAAGGATGTGGGCACGCAGCTGTTCTCAGTACCCTCATCTCAGTGTAGGCTCAAACGCTGTGCGAGCTGCTGCTCACGCTTGTCCAGCCTTACCCTGTGTAAAGAGAACTGGCTTTTCCTTTGCTAGGAACTGCGTTTGGAAGACTACCAGGCAAACAGGAAAGGACCCTCCAACCCTGTAGGAGCTGGAGCAGCTGCAGGCTTGTTTGGGTCTTCTACAGCTACGTCAAGTACGGCTACAGGGCTTTTTGGCTCTTCTACTACTAGTACTGGCTTTTCATATGGACAGAATAAAACTCCTTTTGGAACCAGTAAGTACTGCCTGGCCCCTGTCCTTACTGTGACTGGATAAGCTATTTAAAGACCTGTTCTAACAAAAGATGAGGAAACTCTGGTGTGAGCTCAGAATATTCCTGGTTGTATTATCAGCATTCGCTAATCAGGTCCCTTGCTGTAGGAATCTCCATTTACTCTTCAGGGACTGTAACTTCCTCCACATCCCCCAGGTTCTGCTGGAAAGCAGCTTACTAGAGCATCTGCTTCCCAGGGAAGTCAGCTGCCTCGTGGGCGAGGAGAGCAGTTTGAAACAAACCCACCAGGATGTTGCTGATGGTGGGCAGGGTGGGGGCATTGGTTAGTGCTGAAGTCAGGGTTCTACTTCTGCTAAGGAGCACAGATACATTGCCTGGAAACAGGCTGGTTGATTTATAGCAGCCAGACTAGACTCTGCCAGGGGCTTTTCTCCACCACAGAGCAGGGTGTGACCTATTTTATCATAGACTCATTGTGGTGGTTGAACCCCAGCCAGTAACTCAGCACCACGCAGCCACTCACTCATTCCCACTTTACCCTCAGCTCCCAGCAGGATGGGGAGGAGAATGGAAAGAATGTAAACCCCATGGGTTGAGATAAGAACAGTCCAGTAACTAGGGTATAATACAAAACTACTACTAATAATAATGATAAGGGAAATAACAAGGGGAGAGAACATGAAACTGTAAAGGGAAAGGGAAAAAAACCCCAGCAAACACAAGTGATGCCTGATACAGTTGCTCACCACCAGCTGACCGATACCCAGCCTGACCCGAGCAGCAGTCCAGGCCTTTGGGTGACTGCCCCCAGTTTCCATACTGGGCACAGTGCTGTTGGTATGTAACACCCCTTTGGCCAGTTTGGATCAGGTGTGCTGTCTCTGCTTCCACCTGGCTTCTTGTGCCCCCCCTCACTCGCAGAGCATGAGATTAAGAAGTCCTTGACTGGAGTAAGCATTACTTAGTGACAGCTAAAAGCAACGGTGTTATCAGCACTGTTCTCATGCTGAAGTCAAAACCACAGCACTGCACCAGCTACTGAGATTGGAAAAAGTAACTTACAGCTGAAGCCAGGACACTCAGAATGGTTTGGGTTGGGAGACCTTAAAGCTCATGCAGTTCCAACCCCTGCCACAGGCATGGATGCCTTCCGCTAGAGCAGCTTGCTCCAAGCCCCTGTGTCCAGCCTGGCCTTGAACACTGCCAGGGATGGGGCAGCCACAGCTTCTCTGGGCACCCTGTGCCAGCGCCTCAGCACCCTCCCAGGGAAGAGCTTCTGCCTAAGAGCTCATCTCAGTCTCCCCTCTGGCAGGTTAAAGCCATTCCCCTTGGCCTGTCCCTACATCCCTTGTCCCAAGCCCCTCTCCAGCTTTCCTGCAGCCCCTTCAGGCACTGGAGCTGCTCTCAGGCCTCCAGGAGCCTTCTCTTCTCCAGGCTGCCCCAGCCCAGCTCTCTCAGCCTGGCTCCAGAGCAGAGCTGCTCCAGCCCTCTCAGCACCTTGGAGTGTGAAAGCCTTGCAGGTTTGGATAAATACTTGAGGGTGTTTTAACCAGTGTGTTTCTCTGTTGCAGGTACAACTGGCTTTGGAACAGGAACCACGGGGGGGCTTTTTGGTCAGCAGCCTCAAACTACAAGTCTGTTCAACAAACCTTTTGGCCAGCCCACAACGACGCAGAACACTGGCTTTTCTTTTGGGAACACCAACACCCTGGGACAGCCCAACACGAGCACAATGGTAAGAGAAACTGTTTGAACCCTAAAGGTGGAAGTTTGGCTGTAGCTACTCCAGTAGGCACAGGACACAGGGATTTAGATCTTCCTCAGACTGTGGTACAGCTTCATCAAATGAGGATGCAAAGCTCTGAGTGCCACCATCTGAGCAAGCAGCTTCTTGCCAAGGGAAGCTTCACCCATGATAATGGGCAGCAGAACAGCTGTTACCAAACAGCTTCACCCATTCCTTTCTTTAAGCTGTCTGCTCTATCAGTTCAGGTGTCTCTTATGTTCACACAGGCAAAATAATTCCATTCTTAACATCCTGTGGGATTCATTACCAATTCTGTGCTTCCTGGTGGCTAATGAAGTCATTCATGGGCTTCTTCTGGTAGAAGGATGCTGTGCAGCTGTAACCTGTGGCATAGCTGAGGCTCTGCCTCCAACTATGCTATAGACTTCCTGAATATCTTACGACTTCTCCCAGAAAATGTTTCTTTTTCCTGTCAAAGTGATGAGGAAATTCCAGTATCCTCTCCCTCAGTGATGAGTGAGATGTTTCTTTTCCCCTTTCTCTTGCTGAAAGTGATGAGGAAATTCCAGCAGCCTTTGAAGCATGGAGCATAAATTCTTTGCTCTTTTATTTGATGCTTTTAATTTCCTTTTTGTACTGTATCTCTTGGAGAATGACAAAAGCTTCTGAAATGCCTTTCACCCATCGTCCCCCAGCGCAAGGGCTGATGTTGCAGCGTCATTCTAGTCACTGACTGTGTTTTAGTTCCAATATCACCAGTGCAGACCTGGAGGAGCACTGTACCATGAGCTTAACCTAATTCCTGTCCATAGGGTCTCTTTGGGGTGACCCAGCCCTCACAGCCTGGAGGCCTTTTTGGAACAGCTGCCAATACAAATGCTGGGACTGGGTTTGGAACTGGAACTGGGCTCTTTGGACAACCCAACACGGGATTTGGTGTTGGCGGTTCGGTATGTCTGTGCTTTGTTACACAAAAGCAGAACTAGAGGAAATGAAATGGGAATATATGGCTTAGGAGTCCTCTTCCTGGGTGCTGACCTGCATGAAAATATCCATTATCTTAGATGTCCTGACTTAGGTGTCTGAACTTAAGAGTTAAGGTGCCCAGGATTCAGGACTAGTGGGGTTTTTGTGAACTGAAGAGCATAAGCATGTGCATAGGACTGGCGTGGTAGAAATAAGGCCAGGTTGGACATGGGCTTGGAGCAACCTCCTCTAGTGGAAGGTTCACCTGCCCATGGCAGGGGTTGGAACTGGAGGAGCTTTAAGGTCTGTTCCAACCTAAAACATTCCCTGATTCCATAAGTAATGTCTTGAGTAATAAAACACAGGAGAGACCTAGGGATGCCTGCAAATACAGATGCTTAAGTTGTGATGATGATGACTTAACAAAACTTGATTACTGATATTTGGTCATCCTGGGTGTAATGGCTTGCAGTTAGGTTGGAAAAACCCTTAAGAACAAGTCCAACTGTAATACTTGCTTCCAGAAGGTGCTTGCTGCACACTGTGTGCAGATAACACCACTGCTGGGAGCCTGGGTTGCGTGGCTTCCCGTGTGCTTGCCTTCAATTCTGCTTTCTTGCTTAACGATGTAACAAATGAATGAGTCCACGAGGTTTCCACATTGATGTTTCTCCCTTCTAGACCCTGTTTGGGAACAAGCCTGCTGGATTTGGAACCACCACGACCAGCGCTCCCTCGTTTGGTACAACCACCGGTGGCGGGCTCTTTGGTAACAAACCAACCCTGACTTTAGGAACCAATTCAAACACTTCCACTTTTGGTACATATTTAACAAGTGGGGTTTCAGTCACTTAGCACTGTACTGCATATACCACACACACTTGGCTGCTGAGTATTGCATGCTAAATGTTCTGGGTGTTAAGATTCTCAGGTAAGCTGTGCTCCTGATGCATGTTGCTGCAGGGGAGCATCTTGGATACTTTTTTATACCTTTCCTGTTAGAGAGGATGCTGGTTTGCCCCAGTAAGGCAATTCCAGGCACAAACCCAGGCTGGAGGAGATGGGATGGAGCCTGAGGAGAAGGGCTTGGAGTGCTAGGTGAGGAGAAGCTCCCCATGACCCAGCTTCAGGGTGCGCTTGAGCCCAGAGCACCCCCTGTGTGCTGGGCTGCATGCCCAGAGTGTGAGCAGCAGCTCAGGGAGGGCATCCTGCCCCTCTGCTGTGCTATGGGGAGACCTTAGAGCAGCTCTACTTCCTATAGCAGAGGCTACAGAAAACCTGGAGAGGGGCTTTGAACAAGGGCCTGTAGGGACAGGCCAAGGGGAATGGCTTTAACCTGCCCGAGGGGAGACTGAGCTGAGCTCTTAGGCAGAAGCTCTTCCCTGGGAGGGTGCTGAGGCTCTGGCACAGGGTGCCCAGAGAAGCTGTGGCTGCCCCATCCCTGGCAGTGTTCAAGGCCAGGTTGGACACAGGGCTTGGAGCAAGCTGCTCCAGTGGAAGGGGTCCCTGCCCATGGCAGGGGGTTGGGGCTGGTTGATCTCTAAGGTCCTTTCCAACCCATACCATTCAGTCATTCCTCTTGATGGTACTCCCTCAGGGATAGATGGTTTCAAGTACTGCTGTTCTGATAAGAGCAAAAGAGAAACTGAAGCCTCTACTTAGACTGAAATCAGAGTATTCAGAGAACAGAGGTGTGTGCAGAGGCTGCAAACACTCTGGTGCCAGGAGTGATGAAGGAAGTCGGGTATAACCAGTGATGCTGCAGCTTGGTAGCAAGTGGAAGGAGATTGTGCACTGGAGCACAGGTAAAATGAAGCAGTCAGTTCTGGTTTAACTGGAAGCTGTTGTTGGTTTTCATGGTGTGAAAGATGAAAGTCTTAAAGAACTGGGGTTTGTATGTTCCTGTTGGCTTCTTGACACCAACATCAGGGACCTGCTGAACAAGTGTGTGACTGAACCTGAGAAATGTGCAGGGATGGTTCAAGTCTATGACCATCTTCCTGTACAGAGCTTCTGTGTCATCTGCTTTGTCTTTTTTTCTGCTGTGTCTGAGAGCAACAAAACTGTTCCTGAAAGTGAGCAGGAGGGCGTTTAGATATGTCCTTTGTTCTGTTTGGGGTTATTTTATTAACTGTTCAGGTAATGAAGTGTGCAGTGAGTAAGCCTCATTTCCCAGCTGGTCAGAATAGAGATGGGGAAGAAATTGTTGGGCTCCTGGGGCAGCACCTTTTAAGCACAGCTTCATTGTGGTGACCCACCCTGGGCAAACTCACCCCATCATGGTATTTGTGAGAGTTGCTTCCAAGTTCCTTGTCCTTCCCGAGATCCTCATGGCCTGTGTGTTGACACTGTGTGGTGAACACTACTGGGTGTAGTGTGGGGTTTTAATGCGCCTGTATTACTTGCAGTGGTGCAGTTGTAGGAAGAGCAGAGTTTGAGTCTAAGCTGTTCCTGATGTTGGTTCATGACTGCAGTTCTCTAGTCCAGTTCTGTCTGCACACAAAGTAACCATGGGGTGGTTCCACAGTCTTCACTGTAAGAACTAACCTGTCTGATGTCAGGTTTGGGTTGTACTTGGATACTGTTAGAGGTGTATCTTTGAGCTGTGTGCTTCCAAGAGTCCGAGTTGTTACCTTCTTTGTTGGTAAGAATCAGGGAAGTGTGTGTCGTGTAAACAGTATAAAATGGGATTTGTTATTTCCCAGCAGCAGCAGAAACTTAAACCACTTCATTCCATTGCCAGAAACAGCATCACCGTGTCCGTTCTGGCTGTCAGTAAAACTGGGAAGGTTGTAACACATTGGAGAGCTTGAGAAGATGAAACACCTTCTCCTCGGATCTTTTCAGTGTTATTTCAGTAGTATTGTCATTATTATTTCATAAGTATGTGTTCTGAAACTTTTACCATTGAAGTCCCTTCTTGCTGCTTGTCAGTTGAACTCCCACTGTTGGAAACAGTGTGAAATCAGACCTTAACTATTGCAGGGCTGTCTCTGAGCTGGGAATACCTATGTATTTTACATGCATCTTTTAATTCCACCGCTACTATAGTAGATTAATGAGCTTCTGGTTCTGTTCCTGAAGGGTTTGGTGCCAACACTGCTGGAAACAGTTTGTTTGGAAATAAACCTGCAACTGGGACCCTGGGAACTGGCCTTGGGACCGGATTTGGAACAGGTAGGATTGACCAGTGTGTTCCATGTCAGCCTAAGCATAGTCCTCAAGCATCAGTGATAGTACAGCCTTGTTGCTGACTCTAATGTAGATATTTAAGCTTGAAACCATCAATCTCTGTCTCAGATCAGAACCCAGTAGAGCTTCTAACATGGTGCCAGGTAACCTTTTAGAAACTCCAGCCAGCAGGAGTTGCAGTTCAGTAAATAACTGATTCTTTGCTGTGGGATAAACTGGCTTGTAAGTTTGTCCCAGTGTTGTAGTAAATGACAGTATCTCTTGTGCTGCAGCTCTTGGGGCAGGACAGACGTCTCTGTTTGGGAACACCCAGCCCAAACTTGGTGGAACACTGGGAACAGGAGCGTTTGGAGCACCAGGATTCAATACATCAACAGCTACTCTGGGCTTTGGAGCCCCTCAGCCTGCTGTGGGTAAGTGTGGGTTAACCTCAGTGTAACTGCTGCTTCTCCCTTGTTTTGAATGTGCCTAAACATAGGAGCACATCCCACTCAAATCCTTTGGAGGGAAGAGAGATGTTTGAGCATCTATTTGAGCACTTCTGTTCTCAGTAGCAGGGGAGACCATCTTAATGGCATTTTTGGTGCTAATTATATGTACTTTTTCAAGCTGTGTAATTGCAGCTATTTTAGAGCTTCATCTTCATGATTACCAGTGTATTTTCCATCACTGAATTTGGGGCAGCAACAGTAGGTGCTTACAGAAACTGAAAAGGGAGATGTAGCGTTGGCATCCTCAGTAATTCCAGTTAGGAAAACCAAAGAGGTTTAATTTGTGGGTATCGGGGAAATAAATGCTCTTCAGATTCAGGTTCTTGGGATACCATGTTGTAAGTTCCAGTGTGTAGCAGGAAGCCAGGCAATGTGGCAGAAGGCCTCTGGAGGAATGAGGAGCTCTGGAAAAGCTAAACACTGACAGGAAGCGTATGGGAGGTGGAAGCAGGGAAGGGTGATCCGGGAAGAAGACAGAGATGTTGTCTGAGCATGCAGGGGTGGGTTTAGGAAGGGTGAAGCCCATCTGGAGCCAAATTTGGGCAGGGATGTCAAAGGCAACAAGAAGCTTTTGTAAGTATACAGGTGACAGAAGGAAGAGCAGAGGTGGCTGATTCATGATTCACCTGAGGGTTATGCTGCCATCCAGGTGGGCCTCAATGGGCTGGAGAAACAGGCCAGCAAGTGGTTCAACAAGGGGAGATGCAAAAGCCCAGAGGAGGCCATGGAGCTGCTGCGAGGGCTGGAGCAGCTCTGCTCTGGAGCCAGGCTGAGAGAGCTGAGCTTGGCCCTGCTTTGGCAGGGGCCTGAGCTAAAGGTGGCCTTCAGAGGTGCCTCCAGTCTCGCTGTTCTGTGACCCTCACAGTAACTTCCTATACCAGTCATGACAGGGGAGGTGGGGCTGAGAGGAGCTCTCTCCTCCTCATGGTGAAATGCTCTCTCATGAGTGGTAGCAGTCAGGTTTTCCATACTTCTCTCTTGTTCCCATCATACTTCTGTAATTCTAATGCTTGGACCTCCCTTGGAGTAACTCTAGAGATGACCCAAGCCTTCACCTCTGTAGGCAGCACCTGTGATAGGACAGCATAAACATATCAGTTAAACCAGCTTTTGGTCTGATAAGAACCAGTTGTCTCAGTCTTCCCCCTTGCAGACTTTGGCAGTGAGCTGCTGCATCTGGAGTGGGTTTGTCCTTTGGGAATGCACAGATTTAGTCCTGCTTTCTTGCACTCACTCTTCATGGGGTGAACAATTACAGCAATTTAATGGGAATTAAAATGAGATGCTAGAAGGTGGAGAGACAAAGCCAGGAGGTTGTGGTTGCAGAGGGGACTCCAGGCCCATACGTTTGTTTGCTGCAGCAGGAATGTCACATTCTGCATGGAATGTTCCCTCCTGCCCTTGGGAAAGTGCTCCAGGTGTCAATAGTTAAAGGCTTTGGTGGGCCAGGCTCCTGCTGCTGGTGTGCAGCTCTGTGCCCTCAGCTTTTCACTATTAAAACCTTCCTGAATGTGGCTGCCGATACTAATGGGGAATAGAATCTGGTTTCTGCTCCAGGCTGCTGCAGCAGGAGAGAGTGGGGAGCAGGGAAAGGAACGCTCGAGGGGATACACAGAGAGATGTGTATTCCTCTGAGGAGATGCAGCGTCTGGAAGCCTGGCTTTTCTTCCTACTCTGGCTCTATCTGAACCCGGGTAGATTTGCTGTTTTAACCGTGAAACTGTTAAAACTAAAACCTGATGTTCTTTTACAGCACTGACAGACCCAAATGCATCAGCTGCCCAGCAAGCAGTGCTTCAGCAGCATCTCAACAGCTTGACTTACTCACCCTTTGGAGATTCTCCACTCTTCAGAAACCCCATGTCAGACCCGAAGAAGAAGGAAGAGGTAAGTCCACCTGAACATAGTTTTACGGATAAGACTTCTGCTTTGTGCTCACTGTATTCACTTCAGTACAGTCAGCAGCAAAATAAGTTGCCATCTGCACCCTCACGCTGGTGCAGCAACTTTTTATACTCTCCAGGATGCAAACAGCTTGTGCTGTGGCTTTGTTCGCTGCCTTCACCTGCATCAGAGCCTGGACTTTGGGTTTCTGGTGTTGATTGCTGCTGCTAGGATGGAGATGGGCAATGGTCTCTGTATTGCAGTGCCTAAAGGGTCTACAAGAAAGATGGAGAGGGCTTTGAACAAGGGCCTGTAGGGGCAGGGGCCCCACTGTCCTCCATGGCTGGGGCAGAGACCCTTGTCTGCTCCAGGCACTGAGGCCTCCTTGCTCCATCTGCTGGCCTTGGGGTGCCCACACCTCTGGTCTGTCCCCAGAGTCACTCTGCTTGGGCTGAACACCCAGGCTGGCTGCTCCACAGCTACATCTATAGGTTGTTACTAGCCCTTCAGTGAGTGAGTGGAGGCTTTTGATCCTTGGCATTGCTTCTGTTATGTGTTGTCACCCAGCTTTGTGTCTGGTTTTGTTCATTGCTTCCCCCTTTCCTTCTTCCCCCTTTTCATTTAAAAGGTCCTTGACCACACACCTTTACCAAAGCAGCAGTGAGTGGTCTGAAACCTCCACTTCTCCATCTTTTTGTTGCAGAGGCTGAAACCAACTAACCCAGCAGCTCAGAAGGCCTTAACAACACCCACCCACTACAAACTGACCCCTCGTCCAGCAACCAGGGTGCGACCCAAAGCTCTGCAGTCAGCTGGCCCTGCCAAATCCCACCTCTTCGATGGTCTTGATGATGATGAGCCATCCCTGTCCAACGGGGCATTCATGCCAAAGTTAGTGTCTCTCTTGTGCTTGTGTGTGAGAGGAAGCAAACTCCTCTAGAGGGTCCTGAATTCCATGACTGGCTATTCAAATAGGAATAGCAAGAGCTAATTGTCTGTAAAGCTTGAACCTCCTTTGGTAGAGGAGCTGAAGTTCAGCTTAAGCTGCAAAGGCCAAATAAGCTGTAAAATGAGGTCATGTCATGTCATGAGTGGAGCAAAGCTGCTATGAGGTCAATTAGGAGTTGCTACAAGAAAGCTTGTAGGGTGTAATACTTCCTGCTCCTGAGGTGGAAGTGTCATTAGGTTGCTAATGCGCTTGCTATGGAGGCAGATTTGGGGCATTTCACAGCCTGGCACAGGTTCTCCTTCAGATCCATGGCTGGTTCTGTGTCAGATCCATGGATGTCTCTGTGAGAACTAAGTAATGATGTTGTGGATCTACCCTAGTGAAGCTTTTGGGTTCAGGCTTTAAGAGCATCAGTGGCAACCACATTGAAAAGGGCTTTGGAAAGCTTTGGAGTTTATCTAAAACAAACAGCAAAAAACTTTGGAGGAAGATACATCCTTCCTTGAACGTCCCTCTGAGCACAGGCTTTCTGAAGCATTTTGTAACTTCTGTGATCTTGGTTTGTCTCTAACTCAGCCTGAACCGTCTGTTTGCTTTGCAGGGGGAGGGCAGAGATGAAATTACTGAGAGTTAAGTTGAAAATCACCAACTGATCACAAGATCAGAGCAAAGGGATGCTTGCAGTTCTTTGGGTGCAGTGAGTGTAGTAGTTCAGTGATCTTCAGGTTGCAGATTCAGCCTTAGCCTGGCCACTGACTCACTCTTAAAATAACCCTGTAGTGAAGAAGAACCTGTGTCCAGAAGCCAGACTTGGTTTCCCTGCTGGAAAAGCTCTGTTTAGTAAAGCAGAGATTACTGTGGTTTAATGAACTCAGGGTTTGAAATTCAGTGATGTGTGCATCTCACACTTACTCCTAAAGCAAAGCCACAAATGGAACTCCAGAGAGAGCTTTAGTATGTCAGCCACTGCAGTGCTCTTACAGACAACGTGATGTGTCCTGAGTGTGGGAGCAGATCTCACACAGCTGTTTGTGGTCCCTGCAGCACACAAATTAAGCATGAAATAGAGATTCATGCCATGGATAGATCCCAGTTTCTCTTTGGTGTGGTTTGTTTTCAGGAAGAGCATTAAAAAGCTGGTTTTGAAGAACCTCAACAGCAGCAGCCTCTTCTCTCCTGTCAATCGGGAAAATGAAGACCTGGCTTCTCCCTCAGAGTACCCGGAGAATGGGGATAGGTATGGAGATGGGTGATGTGGTTCACCACGTGTGTGTGTGTGTGCTTGTGAGAAATGCAGACTGGTTCTGCCTGTCTCTAGAGTTATTAAAAGACTAGGTGGTTACTGCCAGGGATGTCATCGTAGCTGTGCATTGAAGCGTGCTGACCTCTTCAGATTTATTTCCTCTTAAACTGGCCATAGGTTCTTCCTGCAGGGTCACATACCAGTTCATTCCATCCAGAATCAGCAGTTGAGAGGAATGCCTTCAAGAATGACTGCCTGAGGGGAGACTGAGCTGAGCTCTTAGGCAGAAGCTCTTCCCTGGGAGGGTGCTGAGGCGCTGGCACAGGGTGCCCAGAGAAGCTGTGGCTGCCCCATCCCTGGCAGTGCTCAAGGCCAGGTTGGACACAGGGGCTTGGAGCAAGCTGCTCCAGTGGAAGGGGTCCCTGCCCATGGCAGGGGTTGGAGCTGGAGGAGCTTTAAGGTCCTTTCCAACCCAAACCATTCCATGACTGTGGTACCCCTCTCCCAGCCTTATCCCTACATTTCTTGCAGTGGGAGCCCCAGAGTGGATGTGAAGTGGCGGAGTTGTCTGGCAAGGGCAGAGTGAAGGGGAACAATTGCTTCCCTCAGTCTGCTGACTCTGCAGTTCATGTCATGGTCCATTTTGCTTTTGCCACGAAAGACACCAGAGTTTGGGTGCTGCCACAGTCCCCTCAAACTAAATCATTCAACTTCATCCTTCCTGCCCTCAGGTTCTTCCTGTCAGTGCCCCCCGAAGAAAACCACAGGCAGGATGGGGAGCGGGAGGACGAGGATCAGCACGAGGTGAGCAGGTTTTACACGAACCCCATTGCCAGGCCCATTCCCCAGCCTGCAGAGAACTCCCTGCACAAGCACCACAACAACGTGGACGACACCATCGTGGCCCTGAACATGCGTGCGGCCCTGCGGAACGGCCTGGAAGGCAGCAGTGAGGATGCCTCTTTCCATGATGATTCCCTTCAGGATGAGCGTGAGGAGGAGCCGGAAATGATTCATCATCTGCACCCTGCAGGTGAGCCCGGGGCTGGGGTAGCTGCGTGGTTCCTGACAGCCTTCCATGGGTGTTCAGTGAAGTTCTCCTCTGGCTGTTGTAGACCCTCAGCTTTTGCTCTTTGCGTCCCCTCCTTTATTCTGTAGAACCCAAATCTTGCTTTTCAGTCTCATATCTGGTGTGGAATTTGTTTCTGCTGAGTCAAGAGCAGTTTATCTCCATCACCCAGTTTAATATTAGACCGAGGTAGTGAGATGTGTGAGAGGGAGGAGGAGGACCCAAGCTGTGAGTGTTCTGCAGTAGTAAACAGGGTTGTCTGCTGTTCATGAGCCAGATTTCACAGTTAAGAGATGTAACACTTGGTAGTTACCCATGTGGAAAGTGCACTGTAGGAACTGAAAAGGATGGAGCAGCTTTGCTTTGGAGCCAGGCTGAGAGAGCTGGGCTGATTCAGCCTGGAGAAGAGAAAGCTCCTTAAGTGGAGACCTTGGAGCAGCTCCAGTGCCTAAAGGGGCTGCAGGAAAGCTGGAGAGGGGCTTTGGACAAGGGCCTGTAGGGCCAGGCCAAGGGGAATGGCTTTAACCTGCCAGAGGGGAGACTGAGCTGAGCTCTTAGGCAGCAGTGAGGGCTCTGTGAAACACTGAAGTTGCGAATGCAGTCAGCCCAGTGCTGAAGGTGTCTGTGTTGCAGGCATTGTCCTGAAGAGAGCTGGCTATTACACTGTGCCCTCCATGGAGGAGCTGGCGAAACTCACCACCGACAGGAACGAGTGTGTCGTGACGGGCTTCACCATTGGTCGCAGAGGTAAGCACGGGCAGCTCACCTTATGCTGGAAGGGACTTTACACCATGGAACCTCAGCCTGAGTTCTGCACCCACAGTGTGACCATGAACAGCACCCTTTGGTGCTGGATAACTTGGGTTCGGGCCTCGTAGTGTTTCAGCCTGGTAGCACTACCAAGCTGGAGTGACTTGAGAAGGTTAAAGGTGAGAAGAACAAAATCTGCGGTTGTAAAATCCAGACTTGCTGCAGTATTGATGCACACCTCATGGTTGTCATCATTTCCATCTGAGGTGCTGTATGGAGCTTGGGTGAAGAACCTTCAGCCCAAAGTGTGTTCTTTACCCTTTTATTTAATACAAAATTTATTTAAATGCTTCGCATTTGTGTTGGCAGTATAAATAACCAAGTGATAACAAAAAGCTTTCTGTGCAAAAGAACTAGCTATAAGGAAGTTGGGAACACATCTCCAGTGTGTTGACACTGGGAAGGAGCCACCGTTGTGCTCTGCTCTGGAGACGTGGCAGAGGTCAATGATAGGGTGGGGGAGTGTAGCAGGCACGTAGGTTCTCTGGCATGTGACTTGTCATGGGCACAGTGTGATGGTTTGGGTTGTTTTGCAGGCTATGGATCCATTTACTTTGATGGAGAAGTAAATCTCACCAACCTAAACCTGGATGATATTGTGCATATCCGTAGGAAAGAAGTTGTTGTCTACCCTGATGATGAGAGAAAACCACCCATTGGTGAAGGCTTGAATAGGTGGGGTTTAAATATGTTCTCTGTGGGGATGGGGCTTGCAGGGGGGTTGTGTCTGACACTGGTCGCCTGCTGTGGCTGCAGGCAGCTCCCAAGAGATCTGAATCCAGGCTGTGCATTCAATCATGGAGTTGTGGAATAGTTTAGGAAGGGGTCTTCAAAGCTCATCTAGTCCAAGCCCTGTAATGAGCAGGGACATCTTCCACTAGGTTAGGTTCCCAGAACATCCAAACCTGGCCTTGAATGTCCCCAGGGATGGGGCATCCACCATCTCTCTGGGCAACCTGTGCCAGTGTTTCACCATCCTCATAATAAAAAATGTCTTCTATCTTGTGCAAATTTGCCCTCTTTTAGTTTCAAACCATCGCTCCTTGTCCTGTCACAACAGCCCCTGCTAAAAAGTCTCTCCCCATCTTTACTTTTAAGTACTGAAAGTAAGGTCTCCCTGGAGATCACAGCATGGCACAGTCACTGGATGATACCTGCGGGTTTCTGAACCAGAACCTAGCTTTAAAAGCTGGTTTGAGCCCATGTGTTCAGTTCTCAGCTCCTCCACACAATGCAGTAGCTCTGCCTCAACCCCCCGTAGCCTCTTACCCTTTTGTCTGTCTTTGCCAGGCGAGCTGAAGTTACCTTAGATGGAGTGTGGCCTACAGATAAAACCTCTCGCTGCCCCATCAAAAGCCCTGAGCGACTGGCAGAGATGAATTATGAAGGGAGACTGGAGGCTGTGTCTCGGAAGCAGGGCGCTCGCTTCAAGGAATACCGCCCGGAGACCGGATCCTGGGTCTTTAAGGTAATGTTCTTGTCCTGGCTGTGAAGTGACTTCAGGAAAGGTGGAAATAGCCTGAAATTTGGATCTCCTGAGCATTCTAATTCAGAAACTTTCCTAAACTTCCATGAGCTGTCTCAGGTCCTTCAGCTGTAGTGCAAAATGTCGCAGAATCATGGAATGGTTTGTGTTGGAAAGGATCTTAACATCATCCAGTTCCAACCCTCTGCCACAGGGTTGAGGGACACCTCACCCTAGACTGTGTTGTCCAAGGCTCTGTCCAACCTGGCCTTGAACACTGCCAGGGATGGAGCATTCAGCACTTCTCTGGGCACCCTGTGGCAGCCCCTCAGCACCCTCACAGGGAAGAACTTCTGCCTTATATCTAACCTAACTTCCCCTTCAGCTTACACCCATTCCCCCTTGTCCTGTCTCTGCAGTCCCTGATGAAGAGTCCCTCTGTCATGGTCTAAGCCCAGCTGTTACAGCTGAACCCAGGACACCCTCTCTGGTATCCTCATAGCCCCCTTCAGATACTGGAAGGAGTCCTCACCAAAATGATCACAACATCTTTGGCTTCAGACCTGCATGCCGCGGGTGGTCTTGGTCTGCGCAAAAGCTGAGCTGGTTCTAGATGTGCCAGCCACTGTGGAAGGTGGCCAGTTAGGCCAGCTCAAACTTGAGGCCTTCCAGAAATAGATGCCTGAATCCTCTCTTCCAAGGTCTGATGTGTTTGCCCTTCTTGATGCAGGTGGCACACTTCTCCAAGTACGGCTTGCAAGACTCGGATGAGGAAGAGGAGGAACATCCTTCCAAAGTGGACATCAAGAAGTTAAAAACCGCCCCAGTGCCGCCCCCCGGGCACCTGCCCCCCCAGCAAATGACCCTGAATGGCAAACCAACGCCTCCAGCTCAGGTAGAAGAAGGACAGTGACTAAAAGGGAATGCCTAGGATGGAATCTGAGGAGTAGCTGTGCCTGGGGAGGGGTTGTGGAAGCAACCAGTAGCCTGGAAACCGGAGAGCAAAACCTTGTGCAATCCAGTAGCTCTTCTGACCTCCTGATGAGTGTTTGCCTGTTCCTTTTCGTTCAGACACTTGACATTTCGTGCTGAGGATGTGGGAGGGATGGGGAAGCTTTAAGCCTTTGTTTCTTGTTCAGTTTCTGGGTTGACTTTGGCATGTTTGCACCACTTAGGAAGAAACCTTGGTTTGTACGTATTAGATATATACTGTATAGTTACAGCACCTTGCACTGCCTGCCTTGAGAGTGCCATTGTGTATTAGTTTGACTTTAGCATCAGTCAGTGTGCAAGAATGTGCTTTCTAGTTTAAGAATGTGCTCTATTTTTATTAAAAAGTACTTTTTTTAAGGCTGTTACATGCTGGATTTGAAATGTATTTGTGTTGGATGTGACTGCTTTAAAGCTTTGTAAAACATCCTCAGAGTTGTGCCTCTCTCTTAAATAGGGAAGGTGGCATTTGATCCAGGTCACTGGCAGTCCCCTAAGGTCTTACATGAGTTTAATGGTAAAAAAGCCTTTTATATTGTTTTAAAGGGTACTCAGATGGCAGCTGATACTCCCAAGTTTTCCAAATAGAATTAGTATGGATATTGTCAAGCTAAGGGAGGAGCTGCTTCTTTGTGGTGAAAAAACAGCCTACCTGGGAGCCATCCTGGCACTGATGGGATGGAATGTACTCATTGTGCCATGTGGGGGTGAGAAATGTGAGCTAACTGTGGCTTTTGGAATAGCTTGTTCTAAAAAGCAAGAGCAGAGAGCAGATACCATTTTCTCCCAAAACTGGGCTCTTGATTGCATGTCATGGAATGGTTTGAGTTTGGAAAGGACCTTCAAGCTCCTCCAGCTCCAACCCCTGCCACAGGCAGGGACCCCTTCCACAGAGCAGCTTGCTCCAAGCCCCTGTGTCCAACCTGGCCTTGAACACTGCCAGGGATGGGGCAGCCACAGCTTCTCTGGGCACCCTGTGCCAGCGCCTCAGCACCCTCCCAGGGAAGAGCTTCTGCCTAAGAGCTCATCTCAGTCTCCCCTCGGGCAGGTTCAAGCCATTCCCCTCGGCCTGACAAGGAGCAGACATCAGGAATTAGGTGTGACCCCTGTCCTCAGCTCTCCTCCCGCCCCGCTGCCTGTGGTGACAGTCCCCAAGCTGGTACTGAGCTACAGAGGGTGACAGAGCCCTGCAGGCCCTTCGGGGCTGTCCTGGCTCTGCAGCCAGGAGCTGGTTGATAGAACAGAACCCCCGCAGAATGCCGCTCATGGCTGGGCTGTGCAGGTCAGCCCAAGGGTACCTCCTGGCCTAGGAGTGATCAGCCTGCGCCATGTGAGCCGAGCGGCTTTAGGTGGTTCTCGTTTTGCCCGTCTGACCGTTCCCTGCTGCTCAGATACGTGTGTCCTGGGGAGCATTGATGCTCACAGCTTACTTGGGTTTCCAGAAGCGCTGCATATACATGAGCACAGGAACAGAGGCAGGTCGTGCACTGGAAGTCCTGCTAAGGAGTGGAAGAGCACATTCAAGGGCTGCTCTTGGATCATTAGAATCGGGCAGAAAACGTGATGAAGGTTATCAGATGAGGCACATCAAGCCAGACATGGGGTCTGGAAAGATAGAACTTGGAGCAGTGGTGGAGGGAGCATTAGTGAGTGGTGTCCATACACACCTGCGCTGTGCACAGCAGATCTACAAGTCAAACCGTGGTCACAGACATGACTTTCACCACTCCCTTCATTGGGCTTTAATGCAGCCAGGTCCCTCGTATAATCATTCCCTGGGACCTTGCAGTGTTAATAAATTCATGAATATTCAAGTAGTGAGGGAAGGAAAAACCTCAATTCTAGATCCTTTTAAATGCTTCTTTCAGAGCAGTCAATAGCATTTTGAGATGCCTTACATCCCAAGTGGGGCAGGTTTTGAAGCCATGCTGTTTGCCAGGGTTTGGGAAATGAAACACAATGGTGTTTCGATTTTGGGGAACAAAAACCGTCGTTAATGGTTTGCAAGTCAGAGAGATTAATCTGGACGTGGTTTTGCTAAGTACGTTTGAACCCAAGAGAGGTCAGAGTAAGTCACACGCATTCCCAGTACTTTTGGCTGCTTAAAATATTAGCTCTGGTCCCCAGCTGGACAAGGGCCTGTAGGGCCAGGCCAAGGGGAATGGCTTTAACCTGCCCGAGGGGAGACTGAGCTGAGCTCTTAGGCAGAAGCTCTTCCCTGGGAGCAGGGAGTTGGGACTGGATGAGCTTTAAGGTTCCTTCCAACCCAAACCATTCCATGACTCTGTGACTTAAGGTGTGCGTAGGTCCCGTCAGGCTCATCACTGAGGTGATGCCATGTGATTGCCATCAATAATATTGTGAAGTTTATTCTTCCTCCTGCCTTGATCTCCTGGTAGTTATGGGAGACTGAGCTGCAGATTGGAAGAGAACTGCATTCACTGTCACACTGCTGACATGCAGGGATAAGGGCAACATCAGTGGGGAAAAGCCTCCAGCTCTCCAGTCCTGTGCCACTTGTGTCCAGGTTTAAAGCTGAAAACAGTGATGTGTGCACAGCACACGGTCTGTGACCCAGTTGTAGGTGATCTTCAAGGGGACTGGTGTCCACTTCACACATTTTAAGTTCTTGGTGGAACACAGACCCAATGGTTTTAGTTTGTACCCCATCACAGCAGGGAAACACAGCAGCTCCTGCAGCAGCTCCTCTGCTCGTCAGCCACATGTTGGGGCTGGAGAATCACCCAGTGCTCAGTCCTCTGAAGGCTGAACTGGGGCCTCTCTGTGTGGCAGTACTTTGAGGGAGCAGGTGGGGGGAAGGCAGGGTGCACAAAACTTCCCTTTTGGTGGCCACATGAGAAGTGGAAAGCTGAAGAATAGTTCCTTACTGCCTGGAGGATGTTGGTGAACTTCAGGAGCGCCTCGCTAAACCCTGACTTCTCTTCACTGTAACTTGCACTCTTGTTACAACTCGGAAGAAGAGAGGAGTAGGTTGTGTGTGTTCATCTCTAAACTTAATGTGGAGGCTTGGCCCAAGCAGGGGAGTCCTGCGCTCCGCTTGCAGGTGATTGCTGAAGCTGTTGAATCCTCTCTCTCTGCAAAGCTCTTGCAACCTGTTGTAGGCTCACCCAGGCTCTGCCTGTCTCTGCAGACCCCAGACGTGGAGCAGCTGGGCAGGATGGTGGAGCTGGACAGTGACATGGCTGACATCACCCAGGAGCCCCCCCAGGAGCCCCTGCTGGAAAACAACGTCATGGAAGAGCAGGAGGCAGTGCCCGCTTCAGCACACATCGCATCCACCCTGGGCATCAACCCCCACGTGCTGCAGGTGGGTGCCTTGTGACAGCCCCTCTCTTGGTAATGTTTAGCACTGACAGCTCAGTTTGCCTCCCCAGGTACGTACCAGGTAATGTACTCATAGTACAAGCCACCCTTCCAGTGCCTAAAGGGGCTACAAGAAACCTGGAGAGGGGCTTTGGGCAAGGGCCTGTAGGGACAGGACAAAGGGAATGGCTTGAACCTGCCCGAGGGGAGATTGAGATTAGATTAGACATGGGGGTTGGAACTAGATGAGTTTTCTTTCAAACCATTCTGTGATGAAGCTTTTCGTATCTACAAAGGCTTACCACAAACACAGAAGCGTAATACGTGAGTGGTAATCATAGAATCATGGAATGGTTCCGGTTGGAAGGGACCTTAAAGCCATGGGCATGGAATGGAAAAATTAGACTCATCTGAAAGGCAGAATTCTGAGGGGTGGGATAAGCTGAACTGATCTCTACATAGGATGCCTTGGGCCCAGTTGGTGGGAAATGGGAATGGGAGGTGGGAAATTACCACAAGGTAATGGGAGAGCTGGTCTTGATTGGTGTTATTGTTTGGTGGAAGGGTTGTACCTTCAACACCTATGGGCTTCTGCTGGTTACTTAAATTTGTAAGGAAAACCAGTCCTGAAGTTTTTAAGCTGATAAACAAGTAGAGCAGAGAGCTGAGGAAACAGGATTATTCTGGGACTTCCCACCCATCCCTCCCCAGGCCAGTGGCACTGATGTAAGCAGTTGGTTGTCAGGGATTCTCATCCCCTGAAGCTCACTCCTGCCTCCACTGTCACTGGGACTCCTCGTAGCATGTGGAGGTTGTCTGGTCATGTGCAGCTGTACAGGTGGTTTTGGTGGGGAAGGAGCTGAGCGGATCAGCTGCTGCTGCGAGTGAGCGCTGACATGCAGCCCTGACTTGCCACCTCTGCAGATCATGAAAGCTTCCCTGCTCACTGATGAAGACGACCTGGATTTGATCCTGGATCATCATCCTGGGAAGCAGCCCGTGAAAACGGATTCTTCTCAAGAGATCTGCTCCCCGAGGCTCCCAATCTCAAAATCCCATAGACAGAAAAGATACTCAGGTACTGTGAGAAACCACCTGTTGTCTGAAGAAAGAGGTTTTGGTTCTGATACTGACAAAGTCCTACCACTGGCTGAGCACAGGGCAGAGCTGTGGTGGGTCAGCTCTGGCCAGCAGCCTGTTGCCCATCCAGCCACGCTCTCCCTCCTCCTCTTCAATAGGATGGGGGAGAAAATGGGATGAGAAAAGCTCATGGGTTGAGATGAAGAGAGGGAGATGCTTCCACTTGTGACAGCACCCGGGAATCAGACTTGGCTTGTGTAAAATGAATGTGTTGTCAGTTAAAATAGGTTTGGATAGTGAGAAACGGAGACAAACTGGAGCAACGCTTCTGTACTTCATTATGGGGGTGGTGGGCACTGACACAGGGTGCCCGGGAAGCTGTGGCTGCCCCATCCCTGGCAGTGCTCAAGGCCAGGTTGGACACAGGGGCTCCCAGTAGCGGTCATTGGAACCAGGTGGTCTTTAAGGTCCCTCGCAGCCCAACCCATCCCACGATTCCATGAACGTACAGCACCCTGTTCATGTTCTCCCTTCTCCCTTCCAGTCGGTGGGCTGCTGCAGTCCAAATTCGCCACTGTGATTTCCCAGTCACCCAGTGCTGCTGGGCAGGACCTCAAGGGGCCGCAGGCTCCGGGCAGTCCCGCTCCTGCTGCCCTCTGGTCGATGACGTCTCCGCTGAAGCCGGTGTTCTCCGTCCCGCCGGCGGTGCCCGAGGTGCCCATGAGAACAGTGGGGGTGCGCAGGCAGCAGGGCCTCGTGCCCCTCGAGGCGTCCATCACCCACGGGAAAGGGAAGCTGCTCATGGACATGGCACTCTTCATGGGCCGCTCGTTTCGCGTTGGCTGGGGACCCAACTGGACCCTCGTCAACTGTGGAGATCAGCTGAGTGCATCGGGTGACACGGAACATCTTCAGCGTGACTCGGTGGAGTATGGATTCCTGCCGACTCCCGTCGCTCCCAAGCCGTGAGTAGCAGTTTCCCTTGGCATGGCTCTGACATTCTCTCTCTTTGTGTTTGAAAGAACCCCGGTTGTAGGTCCGTATCCCTTCAGAAGTGGTGCAAGACCACACTGGCCATGGAGGTATCTGTCAGGTTGCTACTTCACCAAGCTCTCAATCTCAAAGACCTGCAGTATTGTAGTAAGAGCAGTTAGGTTCTTACCAATAACGCTGTCATTGTGCTGAAGGTTAAAGAGAGCTCAGAATTGTTGTCAGGAAGCTTTAATCTACTCTTGATCCTCCCTGAGGATATCTCATCTACCCAAGGAATTTCTTGTTCAGCCTTCCTTGGGTGTCTTCAGTTCTGCTTTTGTGCAAAGCAGAGTACAGAGCTTCCCGGGGCTGTGTGACTCCATCCCTAACTGTGACCGGAGCATAGCTGGATGTTCTGCACCTGCAGTCCTCCAAAAACCTTGTTTGGATGCTCTCCAGCAGCTGTGATGTGCTGAGAGAATGAGGTGCCCTCCCAGAATGCTCTGGCTGTGATAAGGTGTGCCGCTGCCTTTGGAGAGCTTCAGGCACAGAGTTCAGTGAGGTTTGATGGGCAGAGGCTGGTTCGAAGTCCCAGGCTGTACCCAGGATTTTCATAGCTGGCTGTTGAACTTGGATCAGGTCTTTGTCCTTATGCTCCAGCTGGGAGAAGCTGCACAGTGCAGCAGCTCTGTGGTGGAGCAGTTCACATGGATGGAGAACAATTCCGAACGTTACTGCCTGGTTTTATCTCCTTTCCTCCTCCAGACTCTCGGAATCCTCTTTCAAGGTTCACGTGGAGAAGCTGAGCTTGGCACAACGGACGGTGGACAGAGAAAACCAACTGTATCTCATCCCTCTGGAGATAAAGCTCAAACACAGCACTGTCCACATGGATGAGCACTGCCCTCTTCTAGCACCTAACCCAGGAGTTTCTGCTATCCATGACTATGCTGACTGGGTCAGGAAAGCATCTGAGGATCCTGCTGTGACAGAAGGTGAGGCTGGAGTCTGGAAAACTGTCCAGGTCAGATTGATTTCAGGCTGAGAGAGCTGGGCTGGGTCAGCCTGGAGAAGAGAAGGCTCCTTAATGGGAGACCTTAAGAGAGCTCCAGTGCCTAAAGGGGCTCCAGGAAAGCTGGAGAGGGGCTTGGGACAAGGGATGTAGGGACAGGCCAAGGGGAATGGCTTTAACCTGCCCGAGGGGAGACTGAGCTGAGCTCTTAGGCAGAAGCTCTTCCCTGGGAGGGTGCTGAGGCGCTGGCACAGGGTGCCCAGAGAAGCTGTGGCTGCCCCATGCCTGGCAGTGCTCAAGGGCAGGTTGGACACAGGGGCTTGGAGCAAGCTGCTCTGTGGAAGGGGTCCCTGCCCGTGGCAGGGGTTGGAGCTGGAGGAGCTTTAAGCTCCTTTCATCCCAAACCATTCCATGACTTCAGGTTTCATCTGTGCAGTGAGATGTGAATAAAACAGGGAAATGGGCTGTGCCAGTGTTCCTTTGGAAAGCCCAAACGTGGTTGGTTCCATGTGGGGAGCTACCTGACTCCCTGCATGCACTCCCAACAGTAGGATGATCCCTCTGGATATCCTGCGAGCTTCTGCTCATGACCTTAGCGTCATTCCTAGGTGCTCTTCCTTGAGCCTTCACTCCTGACCGAGTAACTCTGTCTGACAGCTACTGTGAAGCACTGGTGCTTGGCGTGGACGCTGTGCGAAGCGCTCTGGGGGAAGCTGAAGGAGCTGGAGGCCAGCTTGGAGGAGCCGAGGCAGTACGTGCTGGCGCTGGAGCGCAGGAGGGCCTTCTCCCGCTGGCTGTCGGCCACGGCGGCCGCGCGCATCGAGGAGGAGGTGGCCGTGTCCCGGCACGGGAACCCCGTGGAGGCCGTCTTCAGCTGCCTCACCGGCAGGAGGATCGGGGAGGCCTGCAGGCTGGCCCAGCAGTCAGGTGAGGCGCCGCGGTGCCTGCTCCGTGCGGGACCCTGCTCTGGGTTAAACGCAGCCGCTGACTCAGCACCACGCAGCTGCTCGAGGGGGATGGACAGCATTTAAATCCCACAGGTTGACACAAAACCGGCTTGATCCCTAAAGGACAATATAACACTACTGCTAATAATAATGATGAAGCACTGGAGACCTCAGAGCAGCTTCCTGTGTCTGAAGGGGGCTACAGGGATACCCGGGAGAGACTCTTCATCAGGGACTGTAGTGATAGGACAAGGGGTGATGGGTTCAAACTGAAACAGGGGAAGTTAGGTCAGATAGAAAGCAGAAGCTCTTCCCTGGGAGGGTGCTGAGGCGCTGGCACAGGGTGCCCAGAGAAGCTGTGGCTGCCCCATCCCTGGCAGTGTTCAAGGCCAGGCTGGGCACAGGGGCTTGGAGCAAGCTGCTCCAGTGGAAGGGCAGGGGGTTAGAATGGGGTGATCTTAAGCTCCCTTCCCAACCCAGATCATTCCATGCTTCTATGTTTTTCAGAGCTTAATGGCTAGTTTAAGCTTGGTCTTCTGTGTTGGCTCACATCTTTGAAGTTCTCCACTTCTCTCCTCTGAGGAATCTGTCCATCCCGTTTTGTCTTCTCCCTTCACCCCTGTTTAGGGGGGTTATGTCATAGTGTGGTTTATTTCATAGCAAACTGTGCACACACACCAGTTGGGCTGATCCAAGTGCCCCACAGCTCACAGGGGTAGCTGGGGCACTGGTGGGTGGAGGATCTGCCTGAGGTGCTGCTGTGTCCCATTGCAGATGACCACAGGCTGGCTCTGCTCCTGTCCCAGCTGGCCGGGAGCCAGCCTGTGCGGGACCTGCTCACCATGCAGCTGGTGGACTGGCACAGGCTGCAGGCAGACTGCTTCATCCAGGAGGAGAGGCTCCGGATCTTCGCCCTGCTGGCAGGAAAGCCTGTGAGTCCTGTGTCTCTTCTCTTCTTGACTTCCCCTTCTTGGCAGCAGCACTTTCACACTGCAGCACACGACCACAGTGCGTGGTACGCAGTAGGAGAGGAGGACAAGGTGGTGGTGGGTTTTCTGTTAGTGTGATCTTAGTGTTGCACGCCTGGTTGGGGCAATCCCATGCACAGACACAGGCTGGGGAAAGAGGGGATGGAGCCTGAGGAGAAGGACTTGGGCTGTTGGGTGAGGAGAAACTCCCCATGATCTGGCTGCAGTGTGTGCTTGAGCCCAGAACCCGCCATGTGCTGGCTGCACCCCCAGAGTGTGAGCAGCAGCTCAGGGAGGGGATCCTGCCCCTCTGCTGTGCTCTAGGGAGACCTTAGAGCAGCTCCAGTGCCTAAAGGGGCTGCAGGAAACGTGGGGAGAGGCTTAGCCCGACCTGAGTGCTTTGTCTCTTCAGGTGTGGCAGTTATCAGAGAGAATCAATATCAATGTGTGCTCGCTGCTGGACTGGAAGCGCTGCGTGGCCGTGCACCTCTGGTACCTGCTTCCTCCAACAGCTTCTATTTCCCAGGCACTTGCCATGTACGAGTTGGCCTTTCAGGTAGGTCAGTTGTTCCTTGGCGTGAGGAGATCTTACTCAGTCCCGGTGACTGCTGCTGCACTGAGACTTCTGTGAGCAGTCAGGTATCCCTGTGGAAGTGCTGAGTGTGGAGTTCACTGTGTATGGGTTCATTATTTCAGTTGTCAGAGCCCTTCACCAGCTCTGTGATGAGTTGTTGCAGCAGTGCACTCAAATGAATGTTCTTTTCAAAGGGAATAAAGCCCTAGGGTTGAACCCGTTGGTAATTCCGGTCACTTGAGGAGCTCGGCACTGCTCCTCAGGTGGTAGCAATGCATTTTAAGTGCATCTTCCACTGATTGAGTGTTCCCAGGTATTTGACAGCTACCCCAAACTAGGAAGATGGGAAGTGGCCAGCAGCAGGAGCTGTCTGAGCCAGGTGCCAGGCAGTTTTCCCACTGGGATGTTTAATACTCAGCTGTCTGACTTGTCGGATGGTCTTTGAACCATCCACCCCATTTGTTTCACTGGGTGTTTTACAGCAGACAGAAGGCGAGCTGCAGGCAGCGAGTGGCTGATGCATTATGCAGAGGCTGGTTGGTGCTGCAGAGCTGTCAGCCTCTGGGTACAGGCAGACAAAGGGCTCTGTGGCAAAAAGTGTTTAATCATTTAACTAAAGATCCTTCAGCCTCCATCTGTGTGCTTAACAATGGCCCAGCATCAAGTGTAGTAACTCCTAATGGGTGCATGCTCAGTGCTGCAGGACTCTATTGAGGAGAAGCTCCCCATGACCTGGCAGCGTGTGCTTGAGCCCATCATTAATGCAGAACACTGTAACCTCTGCTCTGGAGCCAGGCTGAGAGAGCTGGGTCAGCCTGGAGAAGGGAAGGCTCCTGAAGGGGAGACCTGAGAGCAGCTCCAGTGCCTGAAGGGGCTGCAGGAAACCTGGAGAGGGGCTTGGGACAGGCCAAGGGGAATGGAGGCTGCTGAGCTGTGTGGAATGCAGGATGCAGTTTGTTCAGGGTTAGCTTTAACTGACTGTTAAAACTGGTTCTCTAGAACACATCAGAGTGTGAAAAATATGCCTGCTGCCCTCTGCCTCCCTACCTGGAGGATTCTGGCTGTGTCATAGAGGAAGATGACAACACAGGAAGGCCTCTGAGGGACGTCTGCTTCCACTTATTGAAGCTCTACAGTGACAGGTAAAGAGTCCCAAAGCTTCTATAGAAAGATCTTGGATCAGTGAATGACCTGAATTCCCAGACCAGGGGTATGAAATCAGCCTCAGCACTTAGTGAACTGCTCCAGCAGTCAAACCCTGCCCCGTGTGTAGGCCCTTAAAGCACACGGTGATGCTGTTGCTGCTGGTGGTGGTATCACTGATGAAATTGGAGCTCTGGAGCGTGGCTGTGGGGGGTTCTTGTGTGTTGTCTGTGTCTTGAGGAGTGCAGTGGTCCTGCTTTGTCACAGCAGCCTTTTGAAGGCCTTGAAAAACCTGCAGGAGGGTTTAAACCATGGCAATCACGTACTAAAGGAAAGGTGGTGACAGGCTGGGTGCAGAGTCAGAAAAGCAAAAGGATTTTAACAGTTACTCTTATCTTTTTGTTATTTTATTATCTAAAATCAAAGCACCCCCACACACACACCCTGTAAATCACATCTGTGGAATAACTGGAGGTGGCTGGAGGGAAGGAGCTGAGCAGCACCAGGCTCTGACTGTGCACAGCAAGCTGTTCATGCTGCATGTTTTCCCTGCAGACACTACGACCTTGACCAGCTGCTGGATCCCAGGAGTATCACATCCGACCCCCTGGACTGTCGCCTGAGCTGGCACCTCTGGGAAGTGCTCAGGGCCCTGAACTACACCCACCTGAGCCAGCAGAGCCAGGGGGTGCTGAACACCAGCTACGCTGCCCAGCTCGAGAGCGAAGGCCTCTGGGAATGGGCTGTTTTCATCCTGCTGCACGAGCCCAAGACACAGTGAGTGAAGAGCCTGTTCTGCCTCTTGCCTTCAGAGTAACAGTGGGGTCTGTTCCATTTGTGCCCTTTTCCATTGCCAGTGAGTGTAACACTGCTGCTGCCTCCCTCAGTCATAGAGCCATTGAATCAACAGGGTTGGAAAAGACCTACAAGGTCCCTGAGTCCAACCGCCCCAGCACTGCCAAGGCCACCACTGCCCCATGGCACTGAGGCCTCCTCTCCACGGGGTGTGAACCCTTGCAGGGCCGGTGCCTGCAGCCCTGCCCTGGGCAGCCTGTTCCAATGCCTGAGCACCCTCTGGGGCAGGAATTGTTCCTCAGCTCCATCTAAACCTGCCCTGGGGCAGCTTGAGGCCGTTTCTTCTTGTCCCATCCCTTGTTCCTTGGGAGCAGAGCCCAGCCCCTCCTGGCTCCATCCTCCTCTCAGGCACTTGTAGGCAGCCATCAGGTCCCCCCTGAGCCTTCTCTTCTCCACACTGAACCCCCCAGGTCCCTCAGCCCTTCCCCATCACACTTGGGCTCCAGGCCCTGCACCAGCTCCATTCCCTGCCCTGGCCCCGCTCCAGCACCTCAAGGTCTCTCTCGTAGCGAGGTCCCTAGCGCTGAGCGCGGTCCGTTGGAGCCTGTCTCTGGTGTGACGGGGGTGCTGTAGGGCTGACACCTTTGTCTCTCCCCAGCATCCGGGAGAAGGCCGTGCGGGAGCTGCTGAGCCGGCACTGCGTGCTCAGCGAGACCCCCGAGTCCTGGGCCAAGGAGGCGTTCCTGACGCAGAGGCTCTGCGTCCCCCCGCAGTGGATTCACGAGGCGAAGGCGGTCCGGGCGCGGATGGAGGGCGACAAGCATAAGGAAGCCCTCTTCTTGTTCAAGGCTGGGCACTGGAACCAGTGTCACAAGCTGGTTGTCAGGCACTTGGCCTCAGGTGGGTCTGCTCTGCTCTTCATTCTGCCTCTGGAGCAGGGCACACAAACACAGGAGGGGCAGAATCCTCGGGTGCTGAGGACCAGGAAGGGGTAGGGCTGTGCTCATCATGGTGGGGCTGTTAGTGCTTGGCTGTGTCAGAAGAGTCTCACTGATACCTGGCTGTAAATGGAGTATTTCTGGCCATGGCTGATGCTGTCAGGGAGTCACCAAACTGCCCGAGAGTGTTGTCCTTTGCTTGCTTTGTCTGCTTCTGACATGTAAGAAGCCCTTTTGCTCCATTCCTCACACTCTTGTTCTCCTCAGATGCTATCATCAATGAGAACTACAAGTACCTGAAGGGATTCCTGGAGGATCTTGCCCCTCCAGAACGCAGTGCCCTCATCCAGGACTGGGAGATGGCAGGACTGGTCTACCTGGATTACATCCGTGTCATTGAGATGCTGGACAGGATTCAACAGGTAACAGATCAAAACACTTGGATTGGTTTCTTCCTTCAGTTTGGAAGCTCCTGTGGAGTTCTGCTTTTAGAATAACCTTTTCCTCGCTGTCAGTGTTAATGTTGGCGTCACCCTTCAAACAGCACATGGTGCATGTCTGAAAACGGGGAGGTCTGGAAGGTCCTGTTGAAATAAGATAGAGGGTGGATTGGAGCAGCATGGTCTAGTGGAAGGTAACATAGACAGCCAAGTTACTATAAATTACTTGTGCAGTGATTTAGGGGTAAAACCTTTATGTAATCCCAGACCATAAGTTATAGAATCATAGAGTAGTGAGAAGTTGGGCAGCTCGTGCTGAGCTGCCAGGCTGGGGGCTCGTGGTGCTGCTCGAGGACAGGGTCTGGCAGGTCAGGGCGGCTCAAGGGCAGATTTGGGCTCTGTTTGTGTCGGTTCTGAGCTTCGCTCCCCCAGCCCTGGAGCCGGCCCTGGCAGCAGGGGATGGGTGAGGAGCATGACCCTGTCCTGTGCTCTCTTGTCCTTCCCTCCTCCTCAGCAGAGGGTACCGGGAGACGGAGCCACTCAGGGTCCCCGGAGGGGTTCGGGTTCTCCAGGACCAACCCTGGGAGCATCTCCAGGACCAAGTCCGTGCAGGAGCCGCCGTCCTTCCTCCTGCTCCAGCCGAGCAGGGATCAGGCTCTGGTCCCAGCCCCTCAGTGCAGTTTCCAGCAGTGCTGCTGGAGGGTGCAGGACAGGAATCGGTCTTGCAGAAGCCTCGGTGCTGGGGCTGGTGTCGCAAGTGCCTCTGTGCGAGGGCAGGAGGGTGCTGAGGAACCGGGCCGAGATGGGGAAGTGCAGGCGGGTTCCAGCTGCAGGGTGGCAAACGGTGAGAGAAGGGAAGATGAAGCTGTGCAGGAGGGGAGGCGGGAGGAAGGCTCCGAGGAGGAGGGGAAGGAAGGGGCAAAGCGGAGGGGAGAGCTGGGGGAGAAGGGGAACTGGAGGCAGAGAGAGGGCAGCTCTGGGCTGGAGGCAGCAGCCGGGGCCTCGGTGCCTGGCAGGGCTGGTGTGGGGTTGTCCTCTCTGGGGCCATGGGCTGCTCCCCCCTCACACCCCTCCTGCCCCAGCTGCCTCCTGAGGGCACGCAGGGCGCAGCGGAGCAGAGCGGTTTCACTTCTGGTTTGCAGACGTGTTTGCCCCTGGCCCAGCCCCGCTGTCCTGTGGGGCTGAGGGACGCGTGTGCATGGGCCGGCTGCTGCAGCCCCCAGTGCAGCCGGGTCCTGCTGGGCTTGTCCTGCAGCAGGCACAGAGGCAGCGCTGCCGCTTGGTGTGAGCCCAGCCCCCTGCTCGCTGCGCTGCTGCTCCTGCCCCTCAGTGCTGGTTAAGGCATTTCTGGGGGCAACAACACCGGAGGGACCCGGAGCTGTTGGAGCGAGGCCAGGGGAGGCCATGGAGCTGCTGCGAGGGCTGGAGCAGCTCTGCCCTGGAGCCAGGCTGAGAGAGCTGGGCTGGGGCAGCCTGGAGAAGAGAAGGCTCCTGAAGGGGAGACCTGAGAGCAGCTCCAGTGCCTGAAGGGGCTGCAGGAAAGCTGGAGAGGGGCTTGGGACAGGGCTTGGAGCAAGCTGCTCCAGTGGAAGGTGTCCCTGCCCGTGGCAGGGGGTTGGGACTGGAGCAAGCTTTAAGGTCCCTTTAACTCAAACCATTCTGTGATTCTAAGATGTGGCTCTGCCCTGCACCTGTGCTCTGTGTAGGGAGATGTGGGGTAAGTGAAAAGGAATGGCACTCGCTGTTAGCTGCTTCGTGGGGAACCTGCCTGTGAGTCCCCTCATGCAGTTCAAGGCTTCCCATTTCCCAGCTTCAGGTGTTGCCCTCACACAGGTTGTAGCATGGGTTGTGTCTGCTGTTGGATGGATCTGCCCGAGTGTGCTCAGTGTTGCTGCTTGAGGGCCTTTGGCTGACTCAGAGCCTGACTCTTGTGCTTGCTTTTCAGCTGGATTGTTCCACCTATGAGCTGGAGAGGTTACACACCAAAGTGACATCGCTGTGCAACAGGATAGAGCAGATCCAGTGCCACAGCGCCAAGGACCGCCTGGCTCAGTCAGGTACAGTGAGACCCCCCCACCCCTGCATTGCCTTCAGCTCTGGGGCAACAGCACAAGGGGTACAGGGAGTCCAGAGGAGGGCACGGAGCTGCTGCGAGGGCTGGAGCAGCTCTGCCCTGGAGCCAGGCTGAGAGAGCTGGGCTGGGGCAGCCTGGAGAAGAGAAGGCTCCTGAAGGGGAGACCTGAGAGCAGCTCCAGTGCCTGAAGGGGCTGCAGGAAACCTGGAGAGGGGCTTGGGACAAGGGATGTAGGGCCAGGCCAAGGGGAATGGCTTGAACCTGCCCGAGGGGAGACTGAGCTGAGCTCTTAGGCAGAAGCTCTTCCCTGGGAGGGTGCTGAGGCGCTGGCACAGGGTGCCCAGAGAAGCTGTGGCTGCCCCATCCCTGGCAGTGTTCAAGGCCAGGTTGGACACAGGGGCTTGGAGCAAGCTGCTCTATGGAAGGGGTCCCTGCCCGTGGCAGGGGCTGGAGCTGGAGGAGCTTTAAGGTCCCTTCCAACCCAAACAGTTCCTTCATTCTGAGGAACGAGGCCCTGTTCCCCTTGGAGGAGCTCTGTGTGTGTGGAGGTGTCGCTGCTGGCACCTGGAGCCCATGGCAGCTCCTCTCCTCCCGTTGCAGACATGGCCAAGCGCATCGCCAACCTGCTGCGGGTGGTGCTGGGGCTGCAGCACGCCCCGGAGCCCGTGTGTGAGCCCGCGGCCGAGCTGCAGCGCGTGCCCCTGCGCCTGCTGGCCCCACACATCGGCCGCCTGCCCATGCCCGAGGACTACGCCTTGGAGGAGCTGCGCAGCCTCACGCAGTCCTACCTGCGGGAGCTGACGGTCGGCACCCACTGAGCCCCCGCGCCCCGGACGCTCGTTTTGTACCACTCGTTCCCCTCCCCTCGGCGCAGGTTTTCTCCATAAAGGTCTCCAACAGCTTTAGCCCTGGGTAACGCAGCAGTCTTTGGCGCCGGGGCGCGCTGGGGCCGCGTGCCCCTCGCAGGCTGCTCCCCAGCCGCACACCACGCTCCTGGCACCGGGAGAGCTCCCTGCTGAGCCTCTTTGCCCTGCGGCGGGGGCACGGCGGTGGCTTCATCCTCTGGCCAGTCCTGGTGCAGCGCAGAGCATGGGAAGCAGCTCTGGGGCAGTTCCCCGTGGTGGGGCTGCGCTGGGGAAATCCACGAACCTTCAGCACTGGCCGTGGATGAGCTTGAGGCAGGGTTTGGGTTAGGGGGGTGCTGCTGGGGGGTGAGGGGAGAAGAGATCTCACTCAGAACTGTCTTCTGCATCCTCATGTGAAGGGGGAGGCTGGAACAAGTTCATCCATCCCCCAGCTGCCTCCCGAGCAGGGAGCTGGCATGAGCTCTGTGAGGCTTCTCCCCATCACCACCTTCAGGCTGCTGCTGGGACAGAGCCCGTTCTGCCCCAGGCCCGCCGAGGCTCTGCCTGCGGGGCCAGAGCTGGTGTCACCGAGTGGAGCCACCATCGGCACAAGCCCATCCCGTGCTCCCGTGTGCGCTGTCCCTGCTCCTGCTGTGTCCTGAACCCCACTTAACTCTTGCAAGAAGGAAAAGCAGCTCCTCCAGGGCCTGCTCCCGGGTCTGGTCCCGTGTCGGGGTGGCTGCAGCACCTCCTGTGGGGAGCAGCAGCTTCCACTGCCTGGAGCTCTGCCCTGGCTCCGGAGGTCTTCGTGCATGAGGGTTATGTAAAGGTTTTTATTGAAGAATTATAAATAAATGCTCTAGATTATTTTCCTGTCTTTTTGAAAACAATAAATAAAATGTTTATAGAATTCCCACCGTTTCCTTTGCTTTTCCAGCCCGTTCCAGTGTTGGAGCCATGGGCACGTGGCCCCTGGTCCCACCCAGCAGTGGGGTCAGCCCTGGGGGTGGCAGCTCCTGCCTGGGGTGGGCAGGGATGGCAACTGGGGAAGCTGAAATCTCCCAGGAGCTGAGCGTGTCCGGGGCCGGGAGGAGCAGCAGGAATTGGGGTGTGATCATGGAGTCCTTTAGGATGGAGGGACCTTAACGCTCCTCCATTCCCAGCCCCTGCCCCGGGCAGGGACCCCTTCCATAGAGCAGCTTGCTCCAAGCCCCTGTGTCCAACCTGGCCTTGAGCACTGCCAGGGATGGGGCAGCCCCAGTTTAAGTCCCTTCAACCCGAACCGCTCTGGGATCCTGTACTGAGGAGGAGGCTCTGGGCTGGGCTCTGCCGGTGCTGGGAGCCCGGTGCTGCTGCCTTTGCCGCCTGCCGTTACCGCAGCCCTGTCCCTCCGGTGCAGCGGCTCCCGCCGGGCCCGGGGATGAATAATTCACTGCCTGGAAACCGAGCCTCCGGCCTTAAAACCGATCCCGGTGCTCGGCATCTGCCGCCGGGAGCCGGGTGGGAGCGGAGCCAGGGCAGGGCTGGCGCCCGGGGGATGCTCCGGCACCGCCGCGGCAGGGCCCGCGCTGCCGCTTGTGCTGCACCCCCGGGTCCCATCCTGTACCCTGGAGCGCTGCTCCCACAGATGGGAATCACCCCCTTTTCCCTTCCCTCGCTCGTTCCCTGCGGCCGGCGGACCGGGCGCCCCTCGCCGTGCGCCGTGCTCCCTCCAGCCCAGGTGCGCAGCATCCCCCCTCGGCTCTCCCCACCGCCGCTGCCTCGGTGGCTTCCAGCGCCCCAGCGTCTCCCTTTGAGCCCCGAATTCCCGTTTCCAGCTGCCCCTGCGCCAGGACCGCGGGAAGCGGCCCCTTCCCCGCACCAGGGGCCCCAAGCCGCCGGTTTCCAGCCCCCGGGGCTGCAGAAGCCCCGGGCGGGAGGAGCCAGCTCCCCCCTGCCCGCTCCTTGTCACCGGGTCCCGGTCCCGGTCCCGGTCCCGAGCTGCCCGCGGCGGCGCTGCCCTGCGGCGGGGGCGAGCGCTCACGGTGCCCCCGGGAGCTCCCTGCGCAGGCAGCGCCAGAGCGCTCCAGCCCCGGAGCCGTCGCAGCCCCTGCGGGCCCCACAGAGGGACCGGGGTCCCCCCCATCGCCCCGCGGCTCCCCCCTCCGTGCCTGACGTCACCGGCAGCAGCGCCCGTGTCCCCCCGCGCTCGGGATGGAGCGGCCGCTGCTCGCGCTCTGCCTCGCCGCCTGCCTCCTGGCCCCGGGTAAGCGAGGGCGCTGCCCCCCCCCAGCACAAGGGGGGCCCGGGGGGGGGTTCGAGGGGCTCGGGCTGGCCCCGGGTCCCGGTGGTCCCTGGGGCCGGGGCCGGCGGCGCCCGCGGCCGCTCCATCCCCGCTGTGCATCCCCGCAGGCGGCCGCGGGGCCCCGGGCAGGGTCGCCCAGAAGCTGCTCCACGACCTCTTCGCCAACTACTCCAGCGCCCTGCGGCCCGTGGAGGACACGGAGCGGGCGCTCAACGTCACCCTCCAGGTCACCCTGTCCCAGATCATCGACATGGTGAGAGGCGCGGGGCCACCGGCACCGCCGGCGCCTCCCCTGCTCCGCACTGAGCCCCCCAGCTCCCTCAGCCCTTCCCCATCACACCTGGGCTCCAGGCCCTGCTCCAGCTCCGCTGCCCTGCCCTGGCCCCCTCCAGCACCTCAAGGTCTCTCTTGCAGTGAGGGGGCCAGAGCTGAGCACGGGATCCGAGGTGCGGCCTCACCAGTGCCCAGCGCAGGGACCCCTTGGAGCCAGCTCAGAGCTCCCCAGTGCCCCCAGAGCAGCACAACCCCGGGGGTCCCAGCCAGCCTAGGGCCAGGTTGGACACGGGGGCTTGGAGCAAGCTGCTCCATGGAAGGGGTCCCTGCCCTCCCTGGAGGAGCTTTAAGCTCCCTTCATCCCAAAGCATCCCATGACCCCGAAGGCACCGACCAGGCTGGGTGCTGAGGGGGGTTGTGGGTGACATCGGGGTCCATCCCCTATGCCCAGCCCTGTCCCCCCCACAGGACGAGAGGAACCAGGTCCTCACCTTGTACCTGTGGATGCGCCAGGCCTGGCTGGACGCTCACCTCACGTGGGACAAGGATGCCTATGGCGGCATCGACAGCATCCGCATCCCCAGCAGCTACGTGTGGCGGCCAGACATCATCCTCTACAACAAGTGGGTCACGGGACCCCCCCTCGCTGCTCCTGGAGCCGGGGGGCTCAGAACGGGGCTGGGGAGGCTGATGGGTGTCACCAACCCTGGGGCTGTTGTGGGGTGGGAGCAGGGGGGTCTGGGGTGGGTGATGGAGGGAGGCGGTCACCGCAACCGGGGGCTGGCACCGAACCCCGCGCTGGGGGTGATGTGGGGCTGGGACACTGCACTGAGGAGGATCCGAGCCCCACATGGGGCCCCACGTCCGTCCCCCCCAGCGCCGACGACCGCTTCGGCGGCTCGATGGAGACCAACGTGGTGCTGCGCTCGGACGGGCTCATCCTGTGGGACGCGCCCGCCATCACCAAGAGCTCCTGCAAGGTGGACGTCTCCTACTTCCCCTTCGACGGGCAGCGCTGCCGCCTCACCTTCGGCTCCTGGACCTACAACGGGAACCAGATCGACCTCCGGAACCGGCTGGATGCCGGCGACCTGACGGACTTCGTGGAGAACGTGGAGTGGGAGGTGCTGGGGATGCCGGCCACGAGGAACGTGGTCACCTACGGCTGCTGCTCCGAGCCCTACCCCGACGTCACCTACACCCTCCTGCTGCGCCGCCGCGCCTCCTTCTACGTCTTCAACCTGCTCCTGCCCTGCCTCATGGTCTCCTTCCTGGCCCCGCTCAGCTTCTACCTGCCCGCAGACTCGGGCGAGAAGGTGTCGCTGGGGGTGACGGTGCTGCTGGCGCTCACCGTGTTCCAGCTCCTGGTGGCGGAGAGCATGCCCCCATCGGAGAGCGTCCCGCTCATCGGTGAGCGCCCGGCACCATCCCGTGGCAGTGGAAAGGGTGGTGGCGGGCGGGGGGTTTGGTGCGGTTCTGGTGTCCTCAACACCAGAGAGACCTGGAGCTGTTGGGGTGAGGCCATGGAGCTGCTGCGAGGGCTGGAGCCGCTCTGCCCGGGAGCCAGGCTGAGAGAGCTGGGCTGGGGCAGCCTGGAGAAGAGAAGGCTCCTGAAGGGGAGACCTGAGAGCAGCTCCAGTGCCTGAAGGGGCTGCAGGAAAGCTGGAGAGGGGCTTGGGACAAGGGATGGAGGGACAGGCCAAGGGGAATGGCTTGAACCTGCCCGAGGGGAGACTGAGCTGAGCTCTTAGGCAGAAGCTCTTCCCTGGGAGGGTGCTGAGGCGCTGGCACAGGGTGCCCAGAGAAGCTGTGGCTGCCCCATCCCTGGCAGTGTTCAAGGCCAGGTTGGACACAGGGGCTTGGAGCAAGCTGCTCTATGGAAGGGGTCCCTGCCCGGGGCAGGGGTTGGAGCTGGAGGAGCTTTAGGGTCCCTTCAGCCCAAACCAGGCTGGGGTTCTGTCATTCCACAATCCTATGGCTCTGTGATGGGGGTGCAGGTGTCAGCCCCTCCACTGTGGCCTCACCTCATGGAACCATAGAGCCATGGGCTGGGCCAGGTTGGAAAAGCTGCTCGAGCTCACGCAGTGCAACCGCTCCCCGCCCTGCCAAGGCCGCCGCTGCCCCATGGCACCCCATGGGGTGCGAACGACGCCTCCATCCCTGCCCCGCCCCGTTTCCCCGCAGGCAAGTACTACATCGCCACCATGACCATGATCGCGGCCTCCACGGCGCTCACCATCCTCATCATGAACGTTCACCACTGCGGGCCGGGGGCTCGCCCGGTGCCGGCCTGGGCTCAGCGCCTCATCCTGCGGCACCTGGCGCGGCTCTGCGGGCTGGGGGGCGGCTGCCGGGGCCCGCGGCGGGCTCCGGGCCCGGGGGATGCTCGCGGGGAGCTGGGGGCCAGCCCCGGGCCGTGCCCCCGGCAGCGCTGCCTCTGCCACCACCGCGCGGTCCTGGACCA